CCTGCTCTGAAAGCATTCAGTAGCTTGTTCCACCATCAGAGAACCACAGACCAGAACAGTCTGGACTGAGACCGTCTTGTGTGCAGGGATGGTGATGTCAGACCACATTCCTTTAAAGGAACGCAGTGGAAAAGAAGGAGCGTAAGGCTGTGTGATTGAGTTCAGGTTCATGGAGCAGACCCAGAAGTCACTCTGAAGGCAGCATTAGTGACTTGAGTTTGATTCAGGCGGCCATGTCGTTGACAGCGGAGGTCGATGTGTAATGGAGTGAAATGTGTCCTTTTTAGGCTGATCAAAGACCAGACGCGCCGCTGCTTTCTGGACCATCTGTGAGGGTTTCACTGTGTGTGAAGGCAGTGCCTGTCAGAAGAACATTGCAGTAGTCGAGATGAGAGAGAGAGATTTATTGTTCTTTGTCTTAACATTTAAAAAAAACATACTCATAAAATCCAACCTGAATTTACAGAGAAAACAGCTCCTTGAGTGAAGTAGTATGACCCATAGGTCTCAGATACTAGGATGGAGTTTAGGGCTCAAGATGATCTTCCTACCCAGGATTGCAAAGAGCCAGGGGCAGTGTTTCATCCAGGAGTGTGAGCTGACACCATGTTTTTTTTAAGAGTGTCCCACTTGAGCTAGTCAGACCAGTGTTTACTCCAAAAACAACAAATGTGTGCATGGGAACAGGGCTGCGGCTCATGGAGAGAGACCATATGTAGACCATTTTGTAAAGCAATTTGTAACTTTTTTTTTTTTTACAAAAAGTGCTACACAAATAGAGTTTTTATTATTATTATTTGAAATTGTACTCTGAGGCCAGCAAGTACTGCCAAATGCATGTGCCACTGCCTCAAACCATTGTCCCAGATGCGCCGTAGTTCTGCTGTGTAACGCCCATTATCAGGGGTGGACAGTGGACAGCCGTCAAGTTTAATGACATGAACCACATTAAAATCAGAAAGGAGCTTTATGAGAAATGCTGAGATCCTGCAGCACCAGCAGGAAGGACGTCGACAGGGCCCATGGGGCCCCCTCCACATAGCTCCAGCTCCACATACCTGGGCGTGTACAGCCACCGCAACTGATTAGAGACCAGCCATCTTTAGAAACACTGCTCTTCCATACAATCACACGCTTGTTATCTTTTGAGGAATTTCAAATGATGAATGAGTCATCTCTGAAAGTGGTTTCCAGAAATCCACAGCGGCACCAGGTCACATAATAAAACGATAACAACAAGTGCACAGGCGCAGTTTGATGACAGGACAGATTTCATTTTATGCAATGTCAGAGATTCTGAGTATGTTTTATGAATGAAATTAGAATAAATACCCTAATGTTTGGGGATCTCGCCGAGATACTTGCATGTATAATGATTTAGTTCATTATAAAAGCCGATATCTGAGGATATTTAGAAGGTGGGCAGTGAAATGCAGCACGTGGTGTATGTACAATAAGACGAGTGTTTGTTGAGCGGCTGAGAGAGAGAAGGTTAATCGCAGCATCAGCTTATACGCAGATTCATAACAGAAAGCCTGTGTTACAAACTGGGGCTGTGGGCGGTCACCAGGAAACAACAGTTGTATCACGGAAAATATAGCATCCAGAGCATTTGGTGCTTGACTGATACTTGGCTCTGCAAGCCGCAAGTAGTTTATTTTTTGTTCATTCATAGTTTCTGGTTGTAGATGTTAAATAAACTAACTTCGGTTTTTACTTTGTTTCAGCTGATCCATTGAGACGCACAACACAACCACCGCAGAGCAAAGGAACAAGTGAGTCTGTGAATTCATGGGAAAAATATTGTTAGTCATACTTTCGACTGTGTGATGCGAGGTAAGGGCAGTCATCACAAACGGGCAGAAGCGCTGCTTCTCAAAGTAGGTTTAGTCAACCCTGCGGTGTTTGTGAACAGCAGGCGTGTAAACACACACTTGATTTAGATTCTTCTTGCATAAAGCTAAACAAAACCTCCACAATAGTTTCTTTACATTCATGATTAATTGTGATTTAATGATGGTCTGATTTTGCAGCGAGTCGCACCGACATTCTCCGGGACGTCCACATTACCTCCGCCATCAGTGAGTTCTGCCTTTGCTTGAATTTTGGAGATGAAAAAAAAAATACTGATATGATAACAGATAACTGATATGATAACAATGATAAGAACTAATGCAGATTTTCAGTGAAATGCTTCCAGATTTAGCAGCTAGGTGGTGAGCATGGTGGAGCGTTGAGCAGCTACAGATATTTGCACTTAATCTTTTTTTTTTTTTTTAAAAGTCCGGTTTATAGGTGTTCATATGAAAAAGGTCTGTTTCCATCCACCCCTGGTGCCAGTAGTGGTTGTATTAGTAGTAGAGCTAATATCAACAGTAGCAGTATAGTCATGCATTCAGCTTTAACAGCTGTAGAATTAGCAGCAGGATTTGTGCTTGTAGTACCACCACCACTTCTTAGCACTAATACTATTAGAAGAAGTAACAACCGCAGCTATAAGTTAACATTGAACCTAGTTTTTTTTTCAACCTTTATTAGTAATGTGTATTAGTTCTGTAGTGTGTTATATCACCCCAAATGTAATATATGTATATATTTTAAATGTACATATATGCCACATATGTAAATATAAAATAAAAATACGTGTGTAAAAACCTACATTATTATTATTGTTATTAGAACAGTTTCATATATTGACATATATGTCTAGCCCATGCAAATATCTATATTTATATATGTATTTTTATTTTGTAGTGTTATAAATGTTACATAAATATTCATCCATCCCAAAGCCTGTCAGTATATGTTGATGTTACATACAGTTGGTTCCAAAAGTCTGAGGCCATTTTCCCAGAATGGGAACATAAACATGTTTAAAATGAATGAGAAATGAATAAGAAAAACATTTATAAACATATAAAACATTTTATATGTATGTTCTTTTAATAAACTTACATACAAATTAAATATATACTGTTAACATCTATGGTCACAACATGAAACAAATTTTACTTTGGGCTTTTAATGTCATAAACTTATATCTTCATATTTTCAGAGGATGTGATAATAATAAATCCCTCCTTATAGGTGACATATATGGCAACGTCACTCATGATATCGGGGACATACAGTATATGTCATTTTACATTTCTGAGTTTTTTCTTCTTTTCTTTTTTTTTTTTTTTTTTTTTTTTTTTACTAAGCAGTGGTTTTACAAACAGTGGTGATGGTAGCAGAAGCAACACTGTAGTAATACAGATAGCATTAGTAGCAGAAGTATTAGCGGCAGGAAACACAGTCGTGCTCTCAGTATCAAGAGATGTGATTTTTGATTTCTCCTCAGCACCAGCTCCCACCAGCCGCCAGACGACACAGAGTGGAAGCACCTCAGCTCCCACCCAGGCTCCAGAAACGAGCACCGCAGAGCGGACCTCGGATGCTGAGCATTCGTCTCCCTCACAGGGTGAAGCTCTTATTATCACGCATACTATAATGATTTTCCCAATTAGCCTCCATAGTACTGTCGCTGCATCAGTCAGATGATTAGATTGGCAAATCCCAAAAAAAGGTAAAATGGACCTCAAGTGCCAAAACGGAACTAAAACCTGGATGACACTGGGAATATCATATCATAATTTTTTCTTCGCAACTGAAGTTGGCCTTCATCTGCAAATGTAAAATGTAAAATGGTATTAATCCTTCTTTCATTTCTTATAAAGTAACTTTTCTGACAGAGACTGAAGCAACGAACCGGACAACATCAAGCGCACCCACCACTGAGCCTTCCACTTACACCACAGTTGATCCTAAAAAGCAACGCCACACTCACCACAGTAAGCTTCCACACTGCTTAATTACATCTCGGCTCGATTATTCTCATGCTCCTCTCCCCGGTGTACCCACTTGGGGGTTAAATATACTTCACGTCACCCCCTCCCTTCAGAAATTCCATTGCCAGTTAAATGCATTTTAAATGACTTTACCTCGTCTACAAATCTCTCCACGGTTTAGCGCCGTCATACCTATCTAATCTTCTCCATCCCTTTAAACATTCCTCTGATATCCATCTCCCCCACACCCCCCCCCTCCAGACTGCGCAGCATTGTAGCTGACCTTCACCTCTGAAATACTCTCCCACAGACTGTTCTCTTGAACACATCTGTTCTGCTTGAGTCACAACTGGAAACTCACTTGTTTAGATTGGCCTTTCCTGGTCCATTGTGAAATGTAAACCATGTATTTAGTGTTTTATTATATGTATATATACTGTATACATATGTGTGTGTGTGTGTATAATACTTTTATTTATATATATTTCATTGTTGTTGTATCTTTTTTATGTTCTGAATCGCCTCAGTGTCCTGAAAGCCACTCAAATTTAAAATAAAATAAAATCTATTATTATCTGTAAATCTTTAGCAAGATGCATTAGATTACATCAGACTGGGGACGGTGCAGTTGTAGCGCATTAACATGAGTAAACATTTTGAACGCATAAGAATATAAAGGCAATTTACATAGGGACATAGGGAAAACCCCCTGAATTTCATTCTCATTTCAGTTCATTAGTTTTTCCTTTCACTTCTTGTTGTTTTGTCATCTTCCCACACTTATGTTAACATATGGCAGAGCTAAGAGATTCTCTACATTTTTGTTTGTTTGCAAACAGAGGGAGCGGTTTTATGTTGAGCGTTTCTCTTGCAGTACTTGGCAGAACAGCTGGGCTGATCGTCTGCGTTTTCTTGGTGATCGTCTTTGCTGTCTTTGGAAGCGGCTACTCATGGTATAGAAGGTAAGCTAAGGAAACTCATATAACAGAGGGTTTCATTGAGTTTTAAAAAGTATTTTAATCATGTCACGCTACACTTTTCCTTTCTTCCTCAGGAGGTCAAGAAACAGATACCCAATGGGGACAGCAGAAGAAAAGATGTCCATGAATGATATTTCATCTGGACTGCCGTCGTAGAGTTTGTGCCCTTTGACCTTCTGCTGTCATGGAGAGCAGAGACAGAAAGCTCAAGGGGGGGGTTGTCTCCATGCACCGAAGAAGTGGTTATTACCTACGCACAGGACATTGGCCCAGACGATAACGGCTGACTTGATAGGACGTTCATTTTTTTGCACATTCCCAGGACGTTTAATTTACAGTCTTCCTTTGAGCGGGAATTTTAATGTTGACCCTTCACCTGGGGCACATTACACAATTACACAATACATGTTTCCTCGAAACTGTGTTAAACGAGCTTTGAGGTACATTTCCTCTCGATTAGTGGGTATATCAGAGGTGTTACTCAATCAGCAGCAGTGTATACAAACCTCTGTATTAAAATAGGAAGTGCACATGCGTAACTCATTAGGGTGATCAACGCACCACCGTTTACGATCATATAAATGTTTTGTCCGGCCTTAACGAGCCCCTGGTGCTACAACTGGATACATCTGGTAATATTCTGTTTTTCTAACTCATCAAATCCCATAAAAAAAAAAACAACAACAAAAAAAAAACCAGAACCAACAATGAGTTAATCCTTTTAACAAGCTCCATTCTTTAAAAACAATTACTGTTGAACTGAGTCACATGTTCTGTCAGTAATTGCCCCTTCCTGAAAGCCTCAGATAGGAAGGAGAAGTCTGTTAGTATCAAGAACTTTGGGTTTTGGTCTTTTCATGGCAAAGGCTTACAACAGAGAAGACAGCAGCGTTATCTCACTGGGGGGTTTTAAGGCCTAGGCGGTACTCTGCATTCAAACTGTATGTCTGTAAACTAATAAGTGGAATATTAGAGCGTTAAAGGGACAGAGGAAGACTGATGTTTTGTGTGAGCGAGCTACGGATTAGAGCCAAAAAACGAGCTCTGGTCAGAAAAAGATTTATATGTTTTGCAGCCATTTCTTTTAGTTCTTCAGCTCTTCACCTTCTCGTGGCCTTTATGATATAAGAATGTTAAGCTGGCTGTGTAACTATGTAAAGGGCTCAAATATGAATGTGGCCCCCCCATATGTACAATGATGCCTGTAAACTGCATATGATTCAAGAGTTTATATTAATCACCATAAGACTATTATTTAAAGATGCACCTGGTATGTGATATATATATATATATATGATGCAACTGAATGTTTAAATGTATTACAAATTGGACATCTTTTTATTTTTTTCATGTAGTAAAGGACTTTTTGGTGTTTATGCTCCAGAGCTTGTTGTTGTCAGTGATAAAGCTTCTGAAAATACCACCAACTTCTGCTGAAATATGTCTGTGGTCAGCAGATTTTTAAGGCAGTGCGATTCGCTTACCTCATCTTTTCTTAAAAATGCAGACATGACGCTTTTTTTTAATCCCTCTCGTCTTACTTCTTGTTGCTCTCCACTGTCCGTTTGTGTGATTTAAAAAGATGAAAATGTGTGAAAAATATGAAATATGTTTTAAAGTAGGATTACAGCCTCGTGGTCGTCTGCCTCCGCCACTCAGACTGGTTTGAGTCATGGCTAAAAAGTGTTTGGTGTTTGACCACCAAAATCTGATCAGTTTGTCTTTGAGTTACTGAGATATCGTATCCATGAGAATGTGACGGATGGACGGACGGATAACCTAAAAACAATATGTCTCCTGCTCTGGCTGTCGCCGGCACAGAGCCATGAAAACACAAGAGGCCGAAGTTGCAAATGAAGGACTTTTCTGTAGCTGCTGATAATATATCTAACTAAACACATTATATAAGTCACATTTTGTTGCCTTTCTTTTTTTCTAACTACAATAATGTCTCCAGTTCCTGAAGTGAACTTGATGATGATGTGACTCAAAAACAGTCCAGATAAAATATTCCGTTACCGTCTCTTGCTACTCAAACTCACAGCTGGTCATGACCACCGGTGTAGATCGTTTCCCAGCCGTGATAAATTTATAAAAATGTAAAAGAGAATTTGAATGGTATAGGTGTTGGTTGCCAGTACCAGATATTTTACTCCCATCACCCTCCGCCAGTCTACAGTTGGTCTCTGATCTGTGTCGATAGCAGATTGTTTTATGTACTGAAACTTGTACTTGTGTGGTATTTTGTCTTAAGTGGTACTGTTAGTGTAGCGAAGTTGAGGCTGATCAGTATCAGCTGTTTGGCAGGGAGAACCTGGAACAGATTTCAGTCATCAGAGGATTGTTTGCCACACACAAAGCTATTGATGCTACAGCTAATCTGTACCGTCTTTACTTTTTACAGTCACAAAACTTCACAGAGTACTATTATTATTATTATTATTATCATTAGATCACAATTATTGGAGTAAAGACACTTAAAAAAAAGTCATCCAGCAGGTTTATATTTTGACTAACTGTTTGAAGAAAAACACTGTGCTGCATTATACTCAAAGTGTTACACAATAACAGAGCTCTCCAATCGTCTCCTGAGTGTCAGGGAGCTTATCTCACAGAGAAAATACAATAAACAGGTAAAAATCACAGTCACCTGACACAATCCGTAAGCGGTGACCTCTCTGATGTGTTGTCTGTTTAAAAGAAAACTGCAGTTTATGACTGAGTACCATTAATTTTGCTGGCTATTCTTGTCCTGGTCAGTGCATTCCTGACTCCTTTTCCCGGGACGACACAGAACAAGAGTGTTTTATTGTAGGTTCATGAAGAAAACATGGTGGTCTGGCGGAGCAAGCTGTTCTCGTATGTCTGCCATTGAGAGAACATCGTCGGTCATGAGGAAGGCGGTTGGCCCGATGCGTGTCCACACACACCTCTCACACAGCGGGCCGCCATCTGACACACCATCCGTCTGGACAAAGCAAAATATCTTTAAGTATTACAACCTTTTATGTTTTTCCCTATAAAAACTATAGTGTGATTTTAAGACCTTTTTTTTTTTTTTTTTTAAACAACCTTCAAAACTGCTAACCGACTAACTAAGGCTATCAATAAAATCTGTGCTGTTTTATATACCACTATAATCCAAAACTGTATTTAGAAGCATTAAAATATTGGCTTGTTTCTTACGTATTTCATCTGTTGTTTGCACATGATGAACGCCGAGCCTGGTGTAATGCAGTTAGGACAGTTTGTGATGGAGCACGGGAGCGGTTCGCCCACCTTCATCAGTGAGTCGGGCATCTCTGACTTCAAGAAGTATTCCTGGAGATAACAGGAATTCGATGATGTGGAGAAAAGACACTTTAGATTATTGTACAAAACTGCTTCTGCAGTAGAGGAATTTTAATACCGTCTATGTTTTTTTTTTTAACCATGTTTGAGCTGTACAGGTCTTTTCTGTGCCCTCTGATCTAAAATCATATTTTCAACTTTAAGTTATTGTGTGAATAAGTTTTAGTTGTCCTGGAGGAAACACGAGAATTTATTTGCAGCAAGTTTTAGCATTACATCCATTTCATTATGTTTTCTGATCATTAAATTTGAGCTTAATTCACATATTTGAATTTTAAGGTAAACACAAGAAACTTGTGCTACAGAAAATGGACCAGACTCAGTGAATAGCTCCCTAAGCTTAACATCCTAAGTCCTATGATGACTATTAATTTATCTATACAGACTAATGAGCAGCGATGACTAACATGTCTTTGGGGTCATCAGGTGGGAACCTCCTTTCACCAGTGTTTCGTCTAGTTGGTCCCACGACACCTCCAGGAGGCTAGACAGTGATCACTGGCGTCCCAGAGTCACTCCCCTAATGCCAGCCATCACTGCTCCTCACACCACAACTATTTTCTCCTTTATTTTGCCTATGCTACCAAGAACAACACTATCATCAAATAGGACAAAACACACTAGCAGATTCAGCAAACAAAACTCCCCTAAACAGTTCTGTTCTATAGGACTAGATGTTTTTTTTTCAGGAAGTGGCGGCCATTTTGAATGAGGGAGGTAGAGTCAAGGAGAGATGCCTTGTTGGGCTAAACTCTCCCCCGCCGGATTAGGCTGTGCTCTACCTCCCCTTACTGCCCCACTCTGCAACAACTCACCTAAAACAAACAAACTCGCCTAAACAGTCAAAGACACACTACAAACCAATTCAAAGCAATACAAACAAACAATACAGGCCAACTCACCTAGACTAACCACATGGTCTCAAAGAGGCTCACACCGGCCACACCCCCCACTTAAAAACACTTCCTCTTCCTGGATTTCTTCCTTGCTTTTCCTAAGAATCTGTCTATCCTAAGTGCTCCCCCTGCTGGGCCCCCAGGTACCATTGTTTCTTCTCATCCAAATCCACTGACTGGATCTTACTGCCTCATCTGACATGACCTTTACTATTTTCCTCACACTCTGTCCACTTCCTCCTAACTCCCTCACCAAAGAGACAACAGACCTTGCTACAAATCCTCTACATCCTACTTCCACTGGACAAATCCTAACTTTCCATCCTCACTGCTCTGCTTCTGCCCCTAACTCTACATACCTAAGCTTTTTCCTTTCATATGCTTCTTCAACTGAAGCCTCCCATGGAACAGTTAGCTCTATGAAATATACTCTCATTCTACTCCTAGACCACAAGACTATGTCAGGCCTTAGCTTTGTACTGGCTATTTCCTGGGGAACAACAAGCTTTCCTCCTAAATCTACCTGCATTTCCCAATCACAAGCATCCTCTAAGCTGCCTTGCCTCCTTGCTGTCTTACTAACTTTCTCTCCCTCTTGAACAAACTTGATTGCAACTCTCTTTATTTTAGACCCTCCTAAATTTGCCTGCCTCCGTAAATCTTCAATTCCTGCAGCTAAGCTTTTTAAAACCTGGTTATGTCGCCACGTATACCGGCCTTGCGACAGACTAACCTTACAGCCTGACAAAATGTGCTTTAAAGTTGCAGTACCTGAACACAATGAACATAGCAGGTCTCCATTTACCCAGAGTTTTAGGTTCTGGGGAGTTGGCAATACATCATATGTTGCCCCTATCAAAAATCTAATACTACTTTCCTCCATACTCCACAGCTCTTTCCAGCTAAGCTTTTTCTTGTCTACACCTTCCCAATTCAACCACTG